TCTCCCTATCCTAGACTATATTAATATATCCTATTCTGACCTAAATACCCATTACTCCATATATTAGAGCGTCTCCAAAACCTATGGATCCGATTTATTTTGTCCTGAGCAAATTTGATCATGTACCCAACTTAAGTGGCTTCCTATAGAGAAGAGACTAAAGAATCTCCACCGGAGTCGCGGTGAACTGTTATTAGGATCCTGTGACTCCAGCAATAGGTGCTTCTTCCGGGCTGCCTCGTATTTTATTGGTAATACGTTCGGCACCCAGTCGGAGGATCTCCATGAAGAATTTTTCCAAGTAAAAAAAGTCAACAAGTCTTTATTGGTGTCAGTTAGATTTAAACTTACGACCTTAATGAGGTTGTAAACCACATAATGCTCTCAAGAATTCAGTAAGTGTCGCCTCGTCCATTCTTAGTACAGGTTCAATACACAATATAGAAAGTTATTGTTACTATTATCTTATCTATGGTGTAAATTAACCATTTTTGTTTTTTTCTTGTGTCCTTGTGTGATTTGGACAAACAAACTTACTGCCTATCTGATTGTAAACGATAACCGTTTTTAAGGGATGATAATGGAATGATGCACTCGCCTGCACTATCGATATACGCTGGCGGGGCACCAGTCGACTATAAATATGAGGTCAGGTCAGTTAGTCCATCGTGACAAATTCATCGGGAATTTACCTTTATTTTTATTTTTTAACTTCAATGCACAAAAGTAATGTGTACATACGGCGGATCCGCCATATGTACACTTTATTTTAGGTAAATTAAATTAGTAATTCCTGATGAATTTGTCACGATGGACTCACTGACCTGACCTCAACTTATCCTGGTATATAGCGGCGTTATATACCAGGCAACTATGAGTGATGAAGGGAAATATTGTTAGGTATATAAATAACATAACATTGCATGATTTAAAAGAAAATAAATAAATAATACATTTGTGGTTAATACGCATCTCCTACAATTCCTGCATCTTCTCACTTTCTCATCCAATTTTTTTTCACAGACACGAGTGTTTCTTTCTAGAAAACATGATACAGTTAACGCAGTTAAGTTAGTTATGTGACGTAAGTCATATGTTCATAAGTGCGTTTCTTCGACAGTAAGTTCCTAGTTAAGTAATTACATAGTGTTTATATTTCCCGTACGCCATTGTATGTATTATTACGATGCGATGTGCTCGTTTCCATGTCAGCACCGTATAATGTAATATATCGCGGAAGCAGTAATATCTCAAGGTACACACAGCGCCATCTAGTCCCAAGTTAGGCAGGGCTTGTATTATAGGTACTACTTCTGATATATAATTTAATGAGAATTTTTGGGCTATTGTCAGATGCTAAGACCTGTAATACTGCGACAAACATAGATCTATTGCGCTTGCCCAAATATGTATAAATCCACTAGCTGTCCCGGCAAACGTTGTCTTAAAATAAAAAAAAAATTAGGGGTGGACTACCCCTAACATTTAGGGGGATGAAAAATAGATGTTGACCGATTCTCAGACGTACTCAATACGCTCACAAAATTTCATGAGAATCGGTCAAGCCGTTTCGGAGGAGTATGGGAACGAAAACTGTGACACGAGAACTTTATATATAAGATAAATACAGCAGCCGCTCCATAAGTCCTTCCTTTGGTTTGGAGTGCCATCTGCACTCGCTCCCTATCGTTCGGTGTAGTTGTAAAGGCGACCAACAGTATTAGTATATAATATTATATTATTTGTAGTATTAATATAGTTCGAAAAACAAACTGCTATATCATTTTAAATGTAATATTTGTTGCAATAAACGCTTGATAAAATAGGTACTTGATTTTTGATTTAACATACCCTTCATAGAAACAGTGTAGACCTAATATCATTATGTTTAACCATCACTAACAAACTGCATTTAAGTAATACATTTCTTTTTTATATAGCATAGGGTACAAACGAGTCTTCGGCTCACCTGATGGTAAGTGATTACCGCCCCCAATGAGCATCCGCAACGCCAGAGAATTGCAAATGCTTTGCTTGCCTGTGAAGAAGGAATAAGCCCGCTCAAGAGCACCCGCAACACCAGGGAATTGCAAGTATATTGTCTACATTTTAAGAAGGAATATGCTCTTTTCTTTAAGGTATCAATATCGTATCGATTTGGAAATACCATTTCTGGGAAGGTGATTGCACAATTTTGTTGTATATGATAAAAAGTTTTCTAAAATTCTGTGTATTAAAACGAAATATGTTTCAGTAAAAAAAACATTTATCGATATCACAATTTTATTTATTTAGACACGTATTACCAAAATAAATGGATCATCATTATTTATATTATTAACCGGGTCTTAACACGAACTAGTTTTATGGTAAATAAAGGTATTTACCTCTCTTGACGTTTCGACTAGGTTGCACTAGCCGTGGTCACGAGCTGACTGGAGTAACAGCGATGTCAATGTAGATAGGTGACAGCAGTTTTTTCATCGAAACGTCGAGAGGTAAAAACATTTATTTGCCATAAAATTATTCGTGTTAAGACCCGGTTAATAATATAAATAATGTATATAAAACATGAAAGTTTAAAAATAACTAAATGGATCATCATTAACAAGATTAATTATTAACAAAATAGCTGTCACTATAAATTAACATAAACTTAACAATAACTAAAAATAACAAGTAACAATGAAATTACATTCATATTTCGTACATTCTAAGCCAGTATTTTTAATTTCGCGCAACCCTTTTACAGGTTCATATATTCTGGCGACCCCCTGTGTCAGAAAATCAAATAAATAATTTAATTAAAAGCCTACATACGTTAGTTAAGTAAAAATTGTTTTTATTTTAGTACACTTGTCTATTATTCACGCGGACCACACTGCGTCGGCGCCGGCGACGTTGCCAGACCGCAATTAGGAAAATGATTTGATATTAACGTTTCAAAAATACCAACCAAAATTTGATAAACTTTTGAAAAATAAACATCTTACCTTATCCTTACCACTAAAATTGTGTTTTTGTTGTATATGAACTCCTGACTTTTTATTTCAGCCGATGACCCCCCGAGTAAGGTTTGACCACCCTAGGGGTGGAGACCACCACATTATAAAACATTGTTCTAAGTTTTTGTATGAATACAAAAATAGCACACATTTTGTTGTGTTTAAGAAAAAATATATTTCTTTTTTTTCTATAGGTTCTAATACCCGTTTCTTACCCAAAACATAACTTAATAAACAATTCAGAAGTAATTGAAATTAAGTTACAATTTCTGTGTATAATATTTATTTACAAAAATAATGTACCTACTCTGAATTTATACCAGTTGTCTAGTACCCATAACACAAGCTCCGCTTAGCTACGGACTAGATGGCGCTGTGTGAACTGTCCTGAGATATTATTATTTATTAATTAAAAAAATGTATTTCTATAGAAATATATTTATTGTCTACTGCTGTGCTCGCGTTTTCACGCGCGTGAAATTTAGCCTGTGTTATTCTGATACTTAAGCTATATTATTGTAAAGTTCCATTAAAATCCATTTAGTAGTTTTTGCGTTTAATATAAATTCACACCAACATCGGCATTTATATCGGCATTAGTAAGATTCAGTTTACTGCCCGTAGACAGTGTTGCCATTCTCTATTAAATGAATGTATTTTGTGAATAATTCTTTAGTTCATCAATACATTTGATTGATTATTTTTTTATTGTATTCTAAATGAAGAGGTAATTTGTTGGACAATTATTTAACGCCATCTATCATCAAATAGATAAATTAAATCCGATATAATCTATACTAACATTGTAGAGTAACGTTGCTAGGATGTTCGTTTAACGCCCTCTATAGCGACATAGGGTGAAGTAATTCCGATACAATCTATGCATATATGTAAATAAAATTGGAGTGTCTGTTTGTAATATTGAAATAACCGTTTTTTACTACATGCATATGAATATAAATACGGTACATACATCAAAATAACATTGTTTACAATTTTTGTCTGTCTGTCTGTTTGTTCCGGCTAATCTCTGAACCGAAATGGCTGGACCGATTTTGACGACTTTTTTTGGCTGATAGCTTACATCAGCTATCAGCCAAAAAAAGTCATAAGGAGTAAATTAGGCTATTTTTATTTTAGAAAAATAAAGTTAAATTCCACGCGGACGAAGTCGCGGGTATAGCTATTTTAAATAAATTAAAACAGAGATAATTTGTTGTACAATTATTTAACGCCATCTATCGTCCAATAGATAAATTAAAACTTATACAATCTATACTGACATTGTACAGTAACGTTAGGATGTTCGTTTAACGCCCTCTATGGCTACATAGGTGAATTAATTCCGATGCAAACTTTAATACGAAATATTATAAAATTTTGATTTTGTATTTACAGGTACTATTATCCGATTAATTAAAGTCTTTTAGAGTTAGATAGCCCATTTACTGAGGCTGTAGGCTATATAACATCACTCTACGACCAGTAAGCGCTAGTGTGGTGATACGCTTAAAACACTCGCTAGTGTGATGACAGTACCTAATATTTGACAGTTCAACTCATTTTCAGAATACTCTAATGCTGTTGTCCTCAGCAGGCCTTTACAGCTTCACCGGACGATAACTGTTGAGTTATCGTTTGCAGTACAAAATGTACTTGGTACATTGTACTATATAATTATATAGATGAACAAAATGACCGTTCCTCAGGGGCGGACCGATCTACGGTCTGAGGCCCTGGGACCCGTGTATACAAAGGCCCCAGCCTTCACTGAAAACAATATCATAAGGTTGAGATCCCTGATATCAATTAACCCCTGGATGTGTGCGTCTATCGAATGGTACAGCCATTCCTCGTCGCTTGTTTTTGGTCTGTATATTTTTTTAGTTAAATAATATATGTATGTATATATGTAGGGCCCAGGGTTAAAACTACTTAGGGGCAGTTTCAGCCCAGGGCCCCACAAATTCACAATCCGCCCCTGCCCTTCCTTCCTTCTGGAGATTGTTGACTTATATGCAACAATCAGCTATGGCAGATGCCTCCTAAACTAAAACCCATATGAACGATTGTATCTATTAAGCTTTAAGCTATGCCACTTAATTTTCTATTTCTACTACATTCTACCACCTACTAACTACCGTTGACCATTGACAGTATCTTTAAACATTTCATAGAGAGACGCACACAGTCTATACAATGGCAGACCGACTACAGTAAAGTAGTCGCCTTCAATCCTCTCGACCAGCGTGCCTCCAACTCCTTGGATACCGTAGCCACCAGCTTTATCCCTGTAAAATGTTTAATTCATAATTTAAAATCCACATTCTAGGGGGAAGGGTATTATTAGTTATGTGGACTCATGATCCTATTACTAGCAATGTACCTTATCCAGTTGACCTCCACGTGGTTCCCCCTGATATATCATGATAAATTCCTGGCGAATTTGTCACGATGGGCTAACTGACCTGACCTCATGTTCATCTTATCATCCTCCACTGGTGCCCCGCCAGCGTAAACACTTAGCGCAGGCGGTTGCACTATTCCATTATCATCCACATAAAAAAAAATATCACATTCTTGTCGGTGGAGCTTCTGTTACTTTCTATAATCTTCCATTGTGCTCTTTAAATATTGATAATATTAATTTGCTTGTATTAAAAAAATATAGGTTTAATTGTAAGGTCATAATTCATATAAAATTCTTAATAATGTAATTATGAACAACATTTATTTCAAAGAGCAACATGCAAGGTTCTTGCTCATTCTTCTTGCAATGAGTCGCGTCCAAATGAGTGTTAGGATAAAAAAATATGATTATTCAAAAATATTTATATTAAGTTTATTTGGATAAGGAAGTTTCCCTTTCTGTAGGCTATTTAGCCTATAGTTATAACTTATACCTAAGTTTAGCCTACAGTTATAACTTATACATAACCTAGTTATAACTCTCCATAAGGTGGGTCAATTTTAGCCACTGTTACAAGAAAACTATTGCGGTAACAATCCAAGCGGTAGATTTAAAAAAATGTTGACTATTCAAAAGTGCTTAAATTAAGTTTATTTGAATAAATGATTTTCTATTCTATTCTATTGGATTACAGAAGGCTTAAAAGACATCATACTTGGGATTTTATCCACTAATGAGAAAAAAATGTAAAATAAGAGAGCAGATTTCAAGATACAGATATGAAAAAAAATTAAGCTGTCTCATTTTATATTGTTTTTTTTTCTCACTATAGATACAATTCTCTCCCGTTAACAGATTCCAACAACAAATCTGCTAAAGGCTAGATGAACCTATATAAGCATCGAGTAAGCCCATTTTTAAAAAGAAATTATTTCATTTTCTCTTAAGTCACCAAAACGAGTTATAACTGTATTGCATTGTACTAGTATTATATTTATCTATATTTAGCATTAATGTATGATATTATATAATATCAGGTATACTATATATATTATTATATGTATATATTTATTGCATTTCATATATATTACATAATACTTATCTAGTAATCTTGTGATTGTTTTTTGACATAACTGCCCCACAATGCTTTCTGTATACCTAAAGCTTAGCTGGTGGAGAATGCCATACGGCATTAAGCTCGCCTTTGTACAAGTTATTTTGTGCATTAAAGAATAAAAAAAAACCATGAACCAAAATATAGAAAAAAATGTAAAAAAGTACTCTTACATAGGTTCTCCGGTAGCAATATATGCCTTTATTTGATTTTCATCAATATTCCCGAAGACAACATTTGTGCTCTCTGTGAACTTGATGACTTTTTTTTTTTTTTTTTTTTTTTTTATTTATTTATAAGTATTACATATACACAATTTGTTTTTACAATTATCGCCAAACTGCTTTGCAGTTTGTTGGCGAATAAGGACACTCATTTTTACTTATATCTAATTTACAATTTAACTATAATATAGAACTTATACTAATGCACTTTTTCGAGTAACCATCTTTTCAATTTAAATTTAAATATTTCTTTACTTGAACAATCGTTTTCATTATAAATTTTATTAAATATTCGTGGAGTAATGTACCTTCTTGTTCTCTCACCATAATAGTTGCATACCACCGGTTCAATATACTTATTTATAGTTGTATGTCTCATACTATACTCAGTTGTTTTTTTAACCTTATACTTATTGCATTGATATTGTTCTAATGCCAATAGTAAAGTAACTTTTTCATGTATAGGGAGAATATTACATTTTGTGAATAACAAATTGTAGTTTCCTTTACATTTCTTTTTAAATTCCGTATCTACTAAGTGTTTCAAAAAACGTATTTGTATGTTATACAATTTATCAAGATAGGTACGAAAGGTACAACCATACGCCGCCAGACCATAACTTAATACCGCGTCTGCCAATGCCCAATAAAAGGAAAACAATATCGACCTACTAACTACATATTTAAGCTGGATGAACTTACACAAAACATATCTTAATTTATTACATATATTGTTTATATGTATTTTCCAGCTAAAACTACAGTCTATTGTGATCCCTAAATATTTATATTCATTCACCATCTCGATATGTTCACAATTACATTGTATTTTACTATTGTGAAGACATTGATACGAGTGGCCGACTATTCTAATTGACTTGTTAATATCTTTCATATATGGAGAATGTACAAGCATACATTTAGTTTTAGATACATTCAATAATATACCATTGTCATGGGACCACATCAAAATATTTTCCAGGTCGGACTGTATACATTTTTCAATACTTTCGATATCTCTATCTGCATATATCAAACACGTATCGTCTGCGTACATATATGTCGTACAATAATTTATTACGTTAATCATACTATTTACGTGCATGGTATAACCAACAGGCCCGTATACCGAACCAGTAGGCACACCACTTTTCATATAAAATTCCTGACCGGCTGTAGCATTAATTACAGTGAACAGTTTTCTGTTATCTAAATAATTTCGGAACCATTCGTTTACTGGACCACGGATTCCACATTCTCTCATTGCCTCCAGTAGCTGTCCGTGGTCCAGGGTATCAAATGCCTTTTTGAAATCTATAAAGAGGACTCCTACATATTTCCTATTATCTAGGTGACTATTTATTTGATCACTAAATTTGCCAATAGCTGTAGCTGTACTATATGATTTTCTAAACCCATGCTGTGTATCTGTTAATATATTATTACCTTCTAAAAAATCACTAATCCTTGTCACAAATATTTTTTCTACTATTTTATTTATAGTCGACAAAATTGCAATAGGTCTATAATTACTATATTCTGCATGACTTCCTTGCTTAAATAATGGACGTATAATGGATTTTTTCAGTAAATCTGGGTACGTGCCTGTCTGTAAACTTACATTTATAAATTTGGCCAGAACTGGACTAATTAATTTTTTAATATACTTTAAATCTATTACTCTAATTCCATCTGCTCCTGGAGACTTTCTAGAATTTAATTTACTTATAATTTTTTCAATATGGACTGGTGTAACTTTCTGAAAGTAAAAGCTCACATTTGCATGTTGTACATAGCTTTCACGTAATAAAAACTTTTGATTACATTTATGTTTAATATTATCTATTTCTTTAGTAAATGTTTTTCCAAAATTTGTACAAATATTTTCAACAGTAACCCCCTTACACATATATTTCATTATCATCGAATCTAAATTAGATTTCTTGTTACCCAGCCAGCTGTTAATGGTTGCCCATGTTTTTCTTAAATCACCTTCACAATTTTCTAATTCCTTTTTCCGATACATGTTCTTAGCCCTATTTATAAGTTTATTAGTTAAATTTCTACAACGAGTATATTCCAATCTATAATTAATGTTTTTAATATTAGACTTTGACCTTCTAAATAACTCGTCCCTACGTTTGACCATAATAAATAATTTATTGTCTATCCAGGGCTGTGACCTTCTTGTATTCTTATTAATTTTTAACACTTTTGAACCCTCATATACATTATTGAAAAGAATATATAACTGCTCATAAATTTGTAACGGACAATTCAGTTCTACTAACTTATCCCATTGAATATTTAATAATTTTTGCTTGACTAATTCATTATTGATTACATATACCTGTTTATTATTGCACGGTTCACTACAACCAATGCCAGTCTCTAAGTTCACACCGATCATATAATGATCTGATATTTTACACGTGAGCATGTGTGCGGCGATGCGATGTCTGCTGCGCACCCATACATGGTCAATACAAGACGACACAAGCCGGCCCCCCACTATTTCTTCCCGCGTGCACTCGTTGATAGCACTTTGTAGGCCGCTGTCACACAACATGTTTTTATATTTCTCTCCAATTAAGCTATTTTCCATTAAGTTTATATTCATATCTCCAACTATGATGATATCTTGGTTTTCAGGTATTTGCTTTATGAGAATATTTAATTCATTAATAAAAACCAATCTATTGGATTTTGGTGGCCTATATACAGCAATAATATTTATATTCATGGCATTTATATTTATAGTACTATGCAAAATCTCTGCCGAATTACTTTTTATTCTATTAATATTAATATGTAAATAATCTTTGTAGTAGATCAATACTCCTCCTCCACGTTGTATGTCTCTCGTATAAGCATGAGTATTATATCCATCTATTTCATATAATGATAGTTCACATTGTTTGATATTTATCTCTGTCAATAAAATAATATCTACAGTATATTCACATTGTTCCAACATTAGAAGTAGTTCGTTATAATTCTTTCGCAACGATCTTATATTCAAGTGAACTATTTTGAAATGTTTAGTTGTATTTTTTAGTGATGAAGCCCATTTATCTATTTTTTCATATCTCTGGTAGTCTATATTATTATCAATATTTATAAGCAAATCGTTGAATGTTATAGAAAAAGAAAACACGTAGTATGATCATACACAGTCCATTATGGCTGTTATTCAGAACGTAAAAAGGTGTTTATGTCGGCATCTGACCGTACATTGTAAATTTTAGAATTTTCATTTCTTTTAATTAATATTTTTGAATGTTGTATCCAGACAAACTTGTATGTGCCTTTAAGTAATGTTTTTGCATTCCAGAATAATTGACGTGTCTTTTTAGTTAAGTTGTCGTTTATGTAAATACGTTTTTCACTATTATTTGCGAAAACATCATTATTTAACAAACAAGTTTTTCGTTTCTTTATCCATTCGTTTTTAGCTATTTTAGAACAAAAAGTCACAATAATCGGCCTCGGACGACCCTCATTTTGCTTATGTCGGCCTACCCTCTTGACCTCTTCTATTGTATTAGAATTTAAATTTAGTTTTTGGGCTATTACTTTTATTACCTTTTTTGTGTCTTCTTTTTCCATATCCTCGACACCAACAATCTCAATATTTCTCTCAACCTGTTTTTCTTCTAACAATAATACTCTTTCCTCTAATGCTTCATTAACCTTCTCTAGATATATATTCTTGTTTTCTAATGCATTAATCTTTTTCTCAGCAGTTTCCTTAAACTCCTGCATTTTTTGGTACTGGTCAGCGTAAAATTCTACACTTTCCGTTAGGTCTTCTATCTTTTTCTGCATGTCGTATAACACTTCCAGTTTTTTATTGACTTCTGACAACAAGGTCTCTGCGCTAGTCTTCTGCAAATCAACATTGAGCTTCGGTGTTGAAAACTTTGGGCTACTTTCACTTCTTTGACACACTTCACATAATCCTGTTTGTTTATACTGTTTATTAGCACATTTTTTATGGTAAACTGTTCCACACAACCCTTTACATGATAAAATGTCATCCTTGCTCATTGATACGAACAATTTGCACTTTTTACACTGATTCATTATAATAACTATCTTAATACACAATATTCAGGAGTTATAATATTAAATGCAGATCAAATTTAACGGGTAATGCGTCCGTAACGCAGAGTGCGCGCGCATGGACGAGGACGACTTTGTCGAGGGCTTTGATAATAACTCCAGTGTAGACTGTATGTCCTCTGCCTGAAAGACTGAAATAATATAATAATTTAATCTATACAATTAAGTATACATATAAATAAAATTTGAGTATCTGTTTGTAATATTGAAATAACCGTTTCTTACTATATGCCTATGAATATAAATACAGTACATACACTAAAATAATAATATTTACAATTTTTGTCCATCTGTCTGTCTGTCTGTTTGTTCCAGCTAATCTCTGAAATGGCGGGGCCAATTTTGACGGGACTTTTATTGGCAGGTAGTTGATGTAATAAGGAGAAACTTAGGCCACTTTTATTTTAGAAAAATAAAGTTAAATTCCATGCGGACGAAGTTGCGGGTACAGCTAGTTGTAAATAAAACAAATATTTTGTACTATTGTAAAGAATTTATATTTTCCCTCCAATGATTCAGTTAAGAATGACATATTTAAAATTCAAGAGCTTTGTGTTCTTTTTTTAAAAGTAATAAAATACAATGTAGCAAAGAGGTTGCATACACTTATAAATAACAATATCTAACGTTTCAGACATATGTAAAAAACATTTCAATATTGCAAACAGACACTCCAATTTTATTTATATGTATATATAGAACAAAAGGATAGTACAAACAGAGTGATATGTCAAAAACTACCATCAGATCGGAGAGCATTTGAGCTAAATTCAAAACTGGTTGTCTAATCAGTGACCATAACCAAGTTTCATTATTATATAAAGTTATAATTTTAGTTATACCACAGGCGAGACTTTACCTGGATAGTATTTGAAATGCCTCTTCCTCACTGGTAGGTTTCCCAAACATGTTCCCATCAAGAGTCACCATAGTATCAGCACCGATAACAATGTCTGGTGGCCGTCCCTCTCGAGTTAATCTTCGCTCAACTTCCAGAACCTTCTGGAGAGCCGTTTCTTCAACGAATGCAGAGAAACTCTTGAAGTCTTTTGGATTCAGATTTTCCTCAAACGTCGAGGGACAAAGAGTGACCTTCAATCCCTGTAATAAACATTTTATAAACTTAAATCCTATATGTTCATATTGAAATTGTAAATTCTGTTTTTTTTTTATTTTAATTTTTAATTAAAAATGGAAGACAAACTTGTAGAAGATCTATGTAACAGAAATATTTTAATTAAATTGCAATTCAATAAAGTATAAAGATGCTCACAATATTTTCTATAAGTTCTTTGCGCCTCGGAGAACCGCTGGCCAATACAATGTTTTTATTTTTTAATATATGCATGATTGGTTGTAACATTTTTTTCTAATTTATATTTCCTGTTTATTTAATTTGCAGTAATTTCACTTATCTATACAGAAAATGAATAATAGCATGTATATATCTATGAGCAAAAATATAGAAATTGAAACTGCAAATATGATGATAAATTCAAATAAAGTTTAGTTTATGATAATTGAAGGGTTAGGTTTAAGTTTTAGCTTATATTTGTTATTTTTATTTATTACATTTTCGCCATGGCAGCCAACCTAGAGATGTGTCGACTCGAGTTAACCCGAGTTACGCTGAAATCGAGTTAACTCGAATTGAATTCTTCCAACTCGAGTTGGAAAAATTCAACCGGTAAATGAACGAATCAAGTGAAAGAGCGAGGGATCACGCTCTCGCTCTTTCACTTGATTCGTTCATCACAGTCTTGGAACCGACAATGTATAAGTTTTCTGATCATTTCGTATCATACAATTTTCACTTGTAACAAGTGTCTCAATATCGTATGAGGTTATGTTATCATTAAAATTATTAAATTACCGTTTTTCATTTATTCGTTATTTTAATATACCTAGTATAATTCTTATACGCTGGCGCTTAAGAGGAAATTACTTTTTTAGGGCACTTTCGATTGCCAGTGACTAGACGTGTAAAATATAAAAGATGCTCGGATTCATATTAAGTATGTAAGATATCCAGGTTCGTTATTGAATCATATAAAAAAAAATACCGTTCAAATAGGAGAAGTTGATCGCAATCATGTATGCGCTCCATAAGTCCTTCCGCGGCTTTCAAGTCCAATTCTACTTGCCCACTATGGCTCAGTGAAACTGAAAACAAGGTCAGTTGCGGCTAAAAACATTTGAATTGTTCGAAAAATTAAAAAAAAGTGTTTATTTCAGGTAACTCGAGTCAACCCGATTTAACTCGAGTTAACTCGAATGTGACCTCATTATTAAAAAGACTAGCTGCTGTTTTTCTAATATGTAATGAGCTCACATTCCTCGACGTATTTCCGTTATGTACTACTATATTTGGAATCCTAGCGCTGCGCAAAAGTTCGGGGTTTCTCCGTCTTGAAATAAAGCGGAGCGTTAAACGGAAAAAGCGCTAAATGAAACACCGTTAAGCGGGATCTTACTGTGTCTACATTAAAAACACAAGTATTTTTTATTTCAATAATTTATTAAAAATAAAATAAGAGAATATATTTACTCATACTGTAGGATGTAAATGTTGTATTTCTACCGATGTAGGACCAAAATGTAGGTGATAGAATGAGTGGACTGTATGTGTAATGTAAATCAAACAATGGATAGAAAATGGTAAATACTTATAATGAAGATACGTGTACAAACGGTTGTAAGACAAAAAGTGACAATAAAAATATATGACAATTCTATAGAGAAAATACATTCAAAATTGATAGAAAAATAAATATATAAAAATTCGCAAAGAATTAGCAACACATACAATAAAAAACAATTGCGCTACAGCTTTATTACATGTAAATACCTACTTGTAGTAATATTTGACAAATTTATTTAGATAGACAGCAATTATATATATGTAATATTTTTTATATCGAACACACTCGTTTTATTAAATTAAAACTATTAAATAAAATTCGAGTTATGATAAGGAAATCTTTTATAATGAATTAGTATTTAAATTTCGAACTATGAACAGTGTTGAGTGGACATTATGACTTATGCCATAAGTCGTAATGTCCACTCAACACTGTTTACCATACCATACCAATGTTTACGATAAGTCTTATGGTAAACATTGTCATTAAATCGGTGTAGTTTACCCATTTTCTACGACAGCTGATCTTCATATCGAGTACATATTTATTAGAACGAGGTTTGCAATCGATGAGTAGACTGGCTGTTATGGCAGACGAAGTATGTTTGAATTTTTGAAAAGATAGTGTGTTGTCATCTTTCTGCCTTCGTATTGATGTATCCATGTATTTAACACTAAAGAAACTTATTGTAAATTTGGTAATGAAATGTTGTAATTTAAATATTGTTATGGGTGGAAACTGTGATTGATACAGTTCATGCTGTAAATAATATAAATAACGTAGTGGAGTAACTTGACTAAACAGTCATGCTTGCTATAAAGTTCAGTTCACTTGTGGCTATATAAGAGTCTGTAATAGACCTACATGAATAAAGATATTTTTAATTTGAATTTGATTTGTACAACACATTATTGTATTAAACGTGTTTTTATATTATTTTATCTTAATCGGAAATATATTTTTGTTTATCTATCATTATACGTTATTTAGATGCACACCACTATAATTACTCTATTAAAGTGAGAAGTTCGGAGGTAACAGTGTTGTTCGGAAAACTGATTCATTGAGCACAGACACTGGATATACACGGTACATCACTACTGTTATCAATTGTCAAAACAAAATGCAAATGTCAAAACGTAAAAAAAAACATGATAATGGAATGGTGCACCCGCCTGCGCTAACGGTTTATCCTGGCGGAGCACCGGTAGAGGATGATAAGATGAGCATGAGGTTAGGTCAGTTAGCTCATCATGACACTTTCACCAAGAATTTATGACGATGATTTCCAGGGGGAACTGTGTGGAGGTCAACCTGACATGGTACATTGCTAGCAATGGGGTTATTACTTATCAGTACTAACAATCCCCTTTCCGACTGTGAGGCAACGGCTGATCCAGTGGGGGGTCATGACCCCCCCCCCCCCCGAACCCAGGACTTAGGTGGACCACTAATTGCACATAATGATTTTATTTATTTACAATAATAATAATAATAATTTATTTGCTCAAAAAAAAAACAGTATTAAAGATGGTAATTAAAACTTAGTATCATGTGTTTTGCCATAGTAGTGGCATGCAAAATAGTATTGTTTAAAATTACACATAATTAAATATACAGAAAGAAATAATAATAGTTAAATAGGATCTCTCTAGTCGATATTTACATATTGTCAAAAAAATAGAATAGAATAGAATTGAAAATCATTTATTCAAATAAATTTACATTGAAGCACTTTTGAATAGTCATCACATTTTTTTTTAATCTACCGCTCATTCGGAATGCTGTCTCATCACAAGAAGAACAAGCAAGAAACTTGTATGTTGCTCTTTTAAATAATTTATTCTTACTTACAATTTAAGTTTAAGTGTGTGAATACAAACTACCGATTAGCACTAATTCAATGAAATAATAAAATAAAAAAACATTCAATACACAACAACTGGTTAAACAATTAATAAGAGGAAATAAGTCATAGTGATTAGAGCAGACCAGTCCACACAAGCAGCACCCGTTCACGAGTATGACGGATGAGCCAGCTATCACTGCGCTCGACCATATTTTAGGGAGCCCAATGACCCGGCCCACCACGCCGCCACAAGTTTGGACATTTTAGTGAGCATGACTACTCAAAACACCAGACCACGTCAAAGCTATTCACAATTAAACTGTAAAATTCCTTATTTTTTAACCATTCTCGTAATGTCTTCTTAAATAATATTTTGTTATTCGTCTTCAATGTCTCAAGAATACAATTATAAATTCTTATACACATATTTTTGTGTTTTTTCACAGTTTTTTGTGTACTGTGTCATTGTATGGGTTTTAGCAAGTACCAAGTCTCAGGAATACAATTATAAATTCTTATACACATATTTTTGTGTTTTTCACAGTTTTTTGTGTACTGTGTCATTGTATGGGTTTTAGCAAGCAATCTATTAGGATTTCTGGTATTTCTAGGATAAATGTCCTGAGCTTTCGTAAATGAATTTAAATTTTGTTTCAAACGGCTACCTCAAAGCGATGGAAGCGTCAATAGTCCAAGTTCTCTGAAACGTGTTCGACATGACTCGTACGGTGCAAGGCTACACAATGCTCTAATACACTTTTTTTGAGCAATGAATGCCCTATTAATATTTGTACCATTTCCCCATATTAATAGTCCATAACGCAGTACAGATTCCACATATGCATGATATGTAGTAAGTGCAGTCTTTCTGTTTGTTATGTTTTTAACACGCTTCATTGCATATACAAACTTATTAATTTTGTTACTAATATTTTCGATTTGTTTTGTCCAATTAAGTTGTTGATCTATCATTATATCCAAAAACTTTGTTTCATTAACTGATTCAATTTGTATATTTCTGTAGTTAACATTAAGATGATAGATTTTGTTTTTCAATTTATTAAAATTAATATAATTAGTTTTATTTACATTTATTGTCAAATTATTCATGTCAAGCCATTTACATATATATTTTGTCACCATACAGATTTTATGTAACTACATGCCTTCAATATTTAATTAATTATATTTAAATAGTGCTTTCTGGATGTCTTCAAGAGAAGATGGCAATATGTACGTGTACCTATATGTACAAGTTATTATGTGTTAAGTTTTTCAAGTGTACAATAAAGGATAAATAATTTTAAGTGCAGTACTTACGTACATTAATAAAATACCTACTTTTTACTTGTATCTATTGTTATAACTATAAGTTCTTGACTTGACCACGACTATTTGACCCCCTCCTGGCGCCAGAGCTGGATCCGCCATTGCTGTGAGGCACCATTATATTAAAGGTATGCTGTGTACATTCAATGTACAGATTCTATATGTACATACTAGCCGTCTCGGCAATCGTTGTTCTACCATATAAATTAAAATCGCTATTAAAAAGTAGGGGTTGATGCTAGAATATTAAAAATTGTGAGTTGTGTCCATTTATAATGCCACATAATAAAAAAAAACAATTTGACGAGAAATTTTTTTTTATTTGGTTTGAGCCACCCTTAACTCTTAGGGCTATAAAAATTACTTGTAAACTGAGATTAGTCTCAGACCTACTAAATATAAAAGTTCATCAAAATCGGTTTTGCAGGAGTATAAACAAGAAACCTGTGACACGATAATTTTATAGATTAGGTTAGATATTAGACAGATGTAATAGTGGCTGACGTCACGACTAGAGTTGCCAGATATTTTTCTAAATAGGCAAAAAATTACGGGAATTTAGTTTCTTTTCGAGGACAAATAAAAAGCAAAATTATATAGTGACATTCTTTATTTTTTTTTATATATATTTCTCTGAGGAGTAAATCAGCTTTAACATATTTTTATTAGTTTTAACATATTTATAAAAATCAATACAATTATAATAGTAATTAAAAACGGTCATCGACTCGCTTTTTATTAAATTAGGGGTACGAGCGTT